GGTATTATAGGGCCAATTTTTGTGGCCCTATAATGCCAATTATAGGGGGATAACTTTTGTGGCTGAAGTTAAATGGTGTCTTATTCTCCTTCCCCCAATTGCTCTGGAAAAATGTCTTCTTTCTATGGAGAAATTTTGCGGATGACTCTTTTAAAACTTTTTTATACTGAGATATAATATACATACAGAAAAGTAAGTAAACTTTTAAGTGCTTGGTGAATTTTCATAAGCTGAACAGACTTGTATAAACAGCACCCAAATCGAGAAAGAGAACATTACCAGCACCGCATGGTAACACAGCATGTTAGAGACTATGATCCCAGATCTCACCTAATTCTATTCTGACCCCTTTCTCAAAGCCTTCCTCTCTCATCTTGAGACCCTATGACAAAATCACTGAGGAGTCATCAAAAACATTGTTTGAATTTCCAAACCTACAAACCTGATCACATGGTCTTAGGTTTCTATATTTTCCTGATAGCTGGTCCTAGAAAATAGCCAGATTTTCCTGTTTCAATATTTTATTGTTTAAAAGTGAAATCTAATGTGAATTTTACTTCCTGCTCAATTTTTCTATAAACTAAAAACTTATTTAAGAAATAAGTTTTTAATTAAATACCCAGTCTATTAATTAAAAGAAAGAAAAAAACACATCTAAAATTAATCAATTAGTCAACTCCTTCACACTGCCACCGGAGGGACCTTTCTCAACCACAAATCTGACCATGTAAATTTTGTTCAGGAGCTCTGCATTACTGTTAAGATAGAGCCCCAAATCCTTTTTATGGCTCTTGGTGACTTATCCATCCTCTAGTTGGGCCACTGTTACCCTTTCTACTGTCTAAACACATTGGCACTTTTTTCAGTTCTTTGAAAGTGTCACGCTTTTTCTTACTTAGAAGGATGCACCTGCTGGTCCCATTTGCTTAAACACACCATTTGCTTTAACACACCATTTGCTTTTTCTCATTGCCAATTCCTTCTGTCTCTGAAAAGGTCAGTGACTTGCCCAAGTCACAGGGCAGATGGTACTTGAACTTGGTTTCCCCCATTGCTAACCCATGCTTCTGTATGGCACCGCTATTTCTCACCTCAAACATCATTCCTTTAGAGTTTAAAGCAAAGAAGCAAGGGTTCTCATGGGTTGAAGGTTAGAGAATCTCTGCTTTTGTCCAAACTTTTTATTTCTGGTGTTAAAGGTTAAGAACTGAATAGATTTACTAATGCCAGTGCAGCATAATAGAATGCTCCCCTCCAAATTTTTCAAACTTAAACATTAATTTTTTTGGATAGACAAACTCTAGAACTTGCGTTATAAATATAAATGAATCAAAATACTGAATATTTCTGCCTTCTTTGAAGTGAGAAAGAAATAATTTCCCATTTGACAGATTAATAAAGTCCAGTGAACTCTCCATTACTCTGTGTGTGTGTGTGTGTGTGTGCGTGCGTGCGTGTGTGTGTGTTTAGGGCTGGAGAAAGAAGGAAGAAGATACTGGATTTAAGATCTTTCATCTTGCAGTAGGAAGCTCTTTTCCCCATGAATTTCTGTCTCTTCAGACAAAACCAAGGAATATAAAAAGCCACATTAAAACTCTCATCTTTTAATCTTTCTGTTTGAGAAATATTGGCCTCTTTTCAGGAGCTGATTGTCTAAATGTTGTTTCAATCTTCACGTTGAATAGAACTGTGTAAAACATTTTTCTTTTGTCAATTATTTTACTTTGAAAATAACCAGTTATCTGGAAGAATTTAGAAATGACTTTTTTTTTCTTTTTTAGTAGTCTCCCTCATGTTTCTCCACGAGTTATATTTTTAGGGTCCGAAAAAAGCCACCCCACTATGAGTAGTTCTTGACTTCCCTATCCCTGCCCTTCTATATAATTCACATTGATGTTCCCACACAGCCTTTTTGTGAAAAATTCAAAATGTAGTTATCAGCAGATAAACACATATTTTGACCTGCCTTATGCTGTTACTGCCAGCTAGCGGCTCAGTGGACAGTGCCAATAAATTCACTCCATAAAATGCCTGTGCAGGCTCTTGAATGATTTATGCATTTTGTTTTTATTATCTTATAAAATAAGTAGATATCACAAAAATTAGTGTATTAAAACTTGTCGTAGCCTGATCTCATAGTACTCATAACAAGAGATAATATAATGTGTCCAGCACTGTTCTAAACACTTTGCATATTTGTCTCATTTAATTCTAGCAAAAATCTTATGAGATACTTTTATTATTTTCATATCACTTACGGGAAAACTAAATCTTAAAGCCATTAAATAATTTTCCAAAAATCACATAGCTACTATCTGGTGATAAGATGAACAATGAGATACACTAGACAGATTGAAAGCAGCAACATTTCCGTTTCAGCTGCAGGCTCATTTTCACATATAAAAAAATTATATATATGTGTGTGTGGAGATATATATATATATATATATGCCTGCATATGCATATGTGTGTGTGGATATATATATGATATTGTAATACCAGAAGAGTAAGAAAGAGTTAATCTTAAAAGATAGAACTCCACAAGAATGAACAATTTATCCCACATTTTGCCTTAGACAAATGAAAACTTAGTTATGAACTAGCTCTGATCCACAGCTTAGCACTTGGGAACCACTGCACTGGTTTGTGTCTTTGGACCATACCAGCATTTACATCTGGAAGTATATTATTAAAGGCTGTGTGCAAAAGGCGGTATGTAACCAAGAGTGACACATGCTTTAGCTTCCCAGAACTTTCTTATAACATGTAAGAAAGTTTTTCCATTTTTGCATACACAAAATTAGATGCTTTCAGGAATTAATTTTTGTAGAGGAATAGATGTATATTGGATAAAATCTTGTGCTGTCATTGATTGTCCAGTTCCAGGCCCCAGGGCTCTATCCATGTTAGTGTGTATATATGACAGCCCTTTATCATTCTGCAAGAGACAAAAACCACACAACAACACATTGAAGCATACAAGCTATTATATATTTTCATAATATAGAACTTTAAAGTATAGTAATCAACAGTGGCAAAATATTTCTGTCTCTGACATTATTATTTGTGAGATCCAACCTGTAATTGAGATAAGATAAAACAGTATGGAAAAACAAATCCACAAGAACAGGATAAAAATATCATGAACAGTAAAATATGTCTAAGTATTTAAAACTGTATAGAAAAAATAAATTAGATGAACAATTGTGTAAATATAAATTAAAAAAAGATGACATTCTTAATAAATAAAGTTTACTATTTACATTTTTATATATTGCCAAAAGATTTAACTTAGATCCATAAAAACACATAAACAGAAAAAAAAACCAAACATAGGAGCAGCAAATTTATGCGCGTGAGGTACAGAGAAAGGATTGGAATTGTGTTTAGTTTTTGGTGTTTAGATTGTTTTCTTTGTGTCTTTTTTCTTTTTCTTTTTTTTTTTTTCTTTTTTACCATAGGCCAGTAGAATTCTTATGAGAACAGCTTTTAAGCACTTCAATGGAGTGTCATTTTTTTGGTAGCTTCCAGAAGGTGCCAAACAGGTTTCAACATCATATTAATTAGAAATACCCATAATAATTATAACAATAATAAAAAGGTATAATATGATACATAAATATGGAAGAGCAGTTTGTAATATGAATACATTTTCTCTAGACGAGATCACAGTTTTATTTTGTAAATATTACATTTAAGTATATATATACACACATATATGTACAACTATATATACATGTGCATATATATGTAAATTTATATTTATATATAATATCTTTATATAGATAGATATCTGCGGACAGGTTATTGATTATAGAGACCCAAGAAAGCAACTCAATAATTGTTCAAAGGTTTCCTCACTGACTGCTGGTGTGTAGTTTAAGAAGCCCCCATTTGTTTGCACTCAGAATGCCTTATCTTCTTTTAATGGAACACTTGATGTGGAATTTTAAGTCTGAGAAGTGAGGTGCCTTCTGAAGAAGAGATTTTAGAGACTCCCTTCCTCTATAAGTTAAAAATGACCGGAAGTCTTAAGTAGACAACAGTTAGCTGACTTTGACATTGTAGGACATAATCAGCTTTAAACCAAATCATAAAACTGGTAAAGGGTAAGATTAATTCTGCCAAAACAATAAAATATTCTCCAATACAGGTCTCTCTTTTAAGATGGACTACAATTCAGGAGCTCCGGCTTTATTCCTTGAAATATCAAACAAGCACTCCTTGTCTTTCTGAAAAGGCCAATGGGCCTGTGCATTCTTGAATAATAATCCATGGACTTTGTGTCAAGCGTTGGCCCTCACAGCCCACCTAAAACCTCAGGGCCTCAAAATCTCCTGCCCTCCCACTCTGAGGTAGGTATATAGTATTATCCCCATTTTGCAGCTAGAGAAACTGATGCAAATGTAGAGGCAACTGGATAACTTGTTAAAGATCACTGAGCAAACTGCTGCCTGGAGTCAAAAATTCTAAGTTCTTTACAATAGGGACATAATTTCTCTTTTGGCTATTATACATTTCTTTTAAAAAGCAAGTGATTCATAGGAATTGGCAAAAGTTGAATAAATTACAAGAACAAGCTTTTATTCATTTGCTATTTGGTTTTTATGTTTGTTGTTTACTTCGTTTGCTTTGTTTCTCAAAACTCACTGGGATTACCTGTCTGGTCATGTAGCAGCTTTTTAAAAAACTGGACTGTGCAGTGTGGTTCTGAGTGCAGTCTTTATAAAGCCCAGTGCTGTACTGGTAAATATAAACATTTTATAACGTGAAAAGCACAACGACACAATATGTCCCCTTAATATCTGGAAAAAATAATATCAAGCCCTCCCACTCCCTACTACCACTGATTGCCACCGAACAAATAAACAAAATGCCCACCCCCCCAACAACAACAATAACACATCAAGGGAGAAAATGTCATATTTCCTGGACCTACCACAATGTACAGAAAATAACAGACAGTGTTATCAAATCCCACTCTATGTCTTCTAGGGAAATGTTTATGTTTGTGTCTACCTACTGAGTCTGTAGAATAAACAATTTCCTTTAGGAAACATAAAAATAGGTTTTTTATTCTTATTTTTTAATCATGCATTTTTATTTCCTTTTAATCTCTTTGTCTTCTATTAATCTCTATCTGTACAGCTTTGTCACCATTTTTTTTTTTATTTTCTCACTTGAAGTAGTTCCAGAAAAAAACACAAAACCTCAAAACTGTTAACTTGACCTTATAATTTCCTTCCTTCCTTCCTTCCTTTTTTTTCTTCCTTCCTTTTCTTTCTTTCTTTCTTTCTTTCTTTCTTTCTTTCTTTCTTTCTTTCCTTTCTTTCTTTCTTTCCTTTCTTTCTTTCACACAGGTAACACCTATAACAAATTGACAATTGCAACCAAGTTAAATCGAACCTGGAAGGGAGGTAGCTGAAATGTGTCTCAAAGATTTATTTTCAACAAATAGCATTTAAGCATTGGCCAAGGTGGGAATAAGACCAAGAGAACCGTCTAGGCAGTGACTCAATGTGTTGAAGCCAGGAGTGGCAGCTGATACCCTAACATTTTCAAAGCCCTACCATCTATGACCATTAATCTTTCCCTTCCTTGACACCCCAATTCACCATTGAAACTGATTTCCCAAAGACTGTATTTCCTTAAAAGGTTATTGGCACAGAATCTGGGGGGGCAATGCAAATCCTTTGGGTAGGTAGTTAACATTGTGACTTGGAAAAGGTTCCCTAAATAGGGCTTAGAGAACTGTCCACCTCATCTTTTCTTTTTTGCTGCTAACAATCTAATACTTCAAATGCAGAACCTTCAGTGTTTTAGGGCCTTTGAGCTGCTGATACACAATAGTGCATCAGAGCTGCCTCTCAGTGCTCCGGTCACCTAAACAGAAGATGACTGAAGGAATGAAATGATGAGTTAATTCCCAGGAGGAAAATGAAACTGGGAATAAATACATTGCTCAAATTGAGCTGACACTCCTCCACTAAGGTTTGAAAAGACCCTATTAATGATACCTTCCACGTGGGCATGAGGTTGGCCACCAATCAAGTAGCCTCTTTTGCCTAATATCCTTGGCAAATACATGTTTGTTAGCAACAGGTCTGAATGAAAGAGACTGAGTGGGTCTTAATTCAGAAGAGCTGAATTCACTCTGTGAGTCTGAAGACACAAGTCAGCCTCCAGGAATCTTTGCTTAGCTGGATAGTGTGGGGATAGATGATGATGGGAGTGAAGATAGAAAGAGGATAAGGACTGATTTGAGGGAAGCTGGTAAGGTTCTTTTGTGGCTCCTGAAATCACATCATTAGTAATGTCATCTTTGGGTCTTCAAAGTTTTTTATATTACCTATGGGTATAATTAAGCAACTGGGAGGGTTGATACTGTTACCTTTCTTAGCTTGTATCTTCTAAGTTAACATCACACAGGCTGATAACTCAGCTAGGACAAGAGAGAGGCCTGGAGAGTTGGCAAGAGTGCGAAGATACTGGAGAGGGGTTCAGAATAGGATTGATTCTTCTAATATTATTATTTCTTGCTAATAATTGGTCCTTATAATTACAGTGAAGTAATGGTCTGGATATAAATGAGATATGGTTTTGTGAGGAAGAAGCATAGAGGATTATTCTTAACAACTGTGGCAGTCTTGCCAATATGGAACCCAAATTTCAGAGTTTGTGAAATGGTATAAGTCTCATAAACTATCTCAGCACTGCATCCATATTTGTGGGCACCTGTGCCAAAAGCACCTTGATATGTTTCTTTTTTTTTTTTTTTTTTTTTGAGACGGATTCTCGCTCTGTCACCCAGGCTAGAGTGCAGTGGCACTATCTTGGCTCACTGCAAGCTCTGCCTCCTATTTCAGGCCATTCTCCTGCCTCAGCCTCCCAAGTAGCTGAGACTACAGGCGCCCGCTACCACGCCCGGCTAATTTTTTTTGTATTTTTAGTAGAGACAGGGTTTCACTGTGTTAGCCAGGATGGTCTCGATCTCCTGACCTCGTGATCCGCCTGCCTCGGCCTCCCAAAGTGCTGGGATTACAGGCGTGAGCCACCGCGCTCGGCGATATGTTTCTTAATGTAATTGGCCAGAGATGGCCAATAGATGTCTTCTCAAGTGTTTCTGATCACCAGTTAAGTGCTACTGGGAGTGATATAATATGGTGGTTCCTAAAGTTATTTTTGGTCCCATTTTTTTTCTTGAAAAAAGACTATGATAGATTAACAACACCTACCTTGGATGCAGGAGTTAGGTGAGGCTGCACATGTGCATGATATTTTCTATCCCTACGCTAGGTTTTGTTTCTGTTGGCTGTCTTCACTAGACTTGAGATGACTTGATTTACAGTAATCCCTATGTGATATAACTAGTCTAGACCTTCCCTTCACCTCAATTCCCAGCTCCAGGTTTCAGAAAGCATGTCACACTCAACCTTTCTCTCCAGTTCATCCTGTATTAATTTCTTCCCATATTAATTCAAAGGGAGTGGACAAGTACCTGGCTGAAAAGAAACAAAGAGATCCCCAAAGTGGTGGGGGCTTCGACATACAATTGGCTAATTTTCACTTAACTTTTGGAGGCTAGACATGGGAGAGAGAAAAGCATTGCCCAGTCACAGGTATGGAAGGGAGTACTGGTAGCTGGAAAAACCATATAGAAAACACGATGACCATGTTGAGTTGTTGGTGCTGAGGCTGTGAACTCTTTGGCTTCTGATGGCCCTCTTGAGAACAATGTATACTATTCTTATAAAAGATTCTTTCTCCCAGAATTATATCTCCTCAGAGCAACAGCGAAGTTCTCAGGACCAAAGCCTACTCTAGCCTGAAGGGCTAGGAAGATTAGGATAAGGATAATAATCCAAGAGTCTCAACAATTCCAATAGTCTCTGGATGGCTCCAACATCATAGAAATTTAACACTGTTCCACTTGTTTACAAAATCTAACACTGGCTTAGACATTCTGGACTTTCAGTGAGGGTTACAGCATCTGATGTCCCTCAACTCCTTTCCAGCGTGAGAGGCCCACTTACAGGAAACTTAACTTCTCACCATGTGGACCCATAAGGGTTTTTCTCTTGCAGAAGGGCTAAAAAGTGAGGAGCTATGGAAAAATGTGGGTCACTTTTAAGGCAGACTGTTTGGTTGTGTGGGATTTTTTCTAACCTAGTTCTACCATCTTGGATTATTCAATGTATAGGATAGAGCAGCAGGAAAAGTAGCAGCAAATGTGGTCCCAAGGCAAGATTTGAGGGAACAGGTAAGTCCTAGAGGGATATTATTACCTCAAGCCTCAAGCAAGGGGCTGACATAATACCTTGACATTGCAATCCTAAGCCATTCTCAGATTGGCCTCGAACCCTGGAGTTGGGGTAAAATCCCCCATGGCAGCAGAAGAATTGGGGCGCTTTGCATACCTTATAATCTTTACCTCTTCCTAGCTCCTAGTTCCCTAGAAGATAGGTGATCACAGACTATTTCACTGCCAATCCCAAAGGACTGTACAATTGTGCATGTCCTACATATTCCGAGCCTCAGGGTGTGAACTATCTTGACATCTCCACACTTGGTCTTAGCAGTTTCTGCAAATTTCTTTCTCCCAAGGATAGTGTTGGCTAGGAGCTTGGGAAAGAAAAGATTGAGTTTATTCCAGTCTCTCTCTGCTCATCTCCAGAACTGCCCTCACACAGATGTTTGTATGGGTGTGTATGCATGCATGTGTACTAACCACAGATGGGCACACTCTAGATATAGAACATGTTTCTTGCTGTGGTTGTGTGACAAATGGCTAGAATTTTAGGAGGCTCTGGGACTGCACACTGTATATGCAATCCGTCTCAGACTTTGGGATGGGAATCCATTTCATCATCCAGCATGGCGAAACTTGGTTCATTCACCCCACTGTGAGTCCTTCCTGGGTAAAATTAAAGGCAGACCGGTTGGGTGCTAAGGATCCCTGGTGTGGAGAGGCCATTCCATTGAGCAGCTGACTGTGAAATCAATACCAAAGGGATGCGGGTCCTGGCGTTGGGAATTCTTTGACAACTCCTTGTCCTTCCTTAGCCATGGCTGTATCCCCGGAGGTCTTTCCGGCTGTGTTCTTGGGCCTGGGGGTCCCGACAAGCACAGTCACCTTGTAGGTCACAGGACATAGGGAATGGGGTGACCTGCAGAAAGAGAGAAGAAGCGAATCAGGCGGTTTGGTCTGAAGCAGTAATGATCAGGAAGGCAGTGGGGGGCAGTGATACAATCACTGGATTTGAGGAGCAGAAGGTTCAAGTTCAAGTCATGGCTCTGCTTCTTGCTATATCCTGGTGATAACTTTTATCGAGAGCACCATGATCATAATCACAGCAGTTTTCATTTACAGAGGCACTTGCTATGGGTCAGGCATTTGCTATGGGGTAAGGCAATGTACTCAGTGATTTCCAAACAAGAAAACACTTTTGACAACTCTGTAAGACAGATGCTGCAACAATCACCCTTTTATTGATGGGGAAACTGAAGCTCAGAAGGGAATAAGAATTTGCCAAAAGTAATAATAAGTGTCAAGTCTGGTATTTAAAGTAAAACAAGCTACTTATCTCTGAGCCTCAGGTCCCTATGTAGAGCTGATATAATAAGACCCACTTTGTACTGTAAACTATAGGAGCTGAGTAAAATCATGGGTGGAAAATTGTAGTGCACTATAGCAAAGTCGGTTAATAGAATTGAGTAATGGAATATCTGATGTATACGTGATCAAGTGAAAGAAAGGATGTGGAAGTGTCCTCTGAGAAACCATAAGTCTCTGCACAAATTAGTCACTTTGATTTTAGTAGGCAATGATGAAAACAAAAAGCATGTCTCAGGGAAGCTAGACCACCTTCTGGGAGGCTTGGAATCCTGAGTAGGGAATAGATCGTATGGAGGTTTTGCACAAAATTTGAAGGACCTGGGAAGCAGATTTTAGCATACGAAAAAGTGAGAGGACTGAGTTCAATCCAGTTTCCAGTTCATTCCTTCATGTGTTCTGTGACCTTGGCCAGCTTTCCTTTCTGAAAACTGATAGGAAGAGCCCAACAGAGCAAGTGTCTTCCCCATCCAGCAGATAATCTATCTTTCCAAAGAGCACAGTGCAGTCCCTGCTTGAGTCCCGCCTGAACTAACACAAGTAGATTTCACCTCATTGCATCATGACATTTGCATATCACTTTCCCCAGAGAGTCTCCAATCTGCGCAGATGGATTTAATGACCTCATTTGCCTCCTGCCTGGGCAGGGTCTCCAAGTGGTCACGTAGTCTCAGAGAGAATCTTTGTTTCTATCCCTCTCTCTCATGTACTTGTGTACTCATTCTCAATGTCTAGCTCTTCTTTCTTCTCTGCCTCTTTGACCACTTTCCCTCCCTCCCAACCTCTCTCCATCCTGAAATTTTGCAATAATTTAAAACGTAGAATGGAACATCAGAAAGATTTAAGTATACACCCCAGCTTGAGACGTGACCTTGAACATGTGAGAACATCTACTTGAGACGTGACCTTGAACATGTGACAATTTCTCTGGGTCTCAATGAACTCATTCATTTAATGGGAAAAATAAAAGTGTAGACCTCCTGAGGTTGTGATAAGGAATACATGAAATAACTCATGAAAACACCTCACATAGTGCTTGACATATGCTAAGTGCTCAATTATTCTCTCTCTTTCTCTCTCCCGCTCCTTCTCCTTTATTTTTTTGGTCTATCCTCCCACCACTTCTGTGGCCCATAAGGCAGAGACCAGGTCAATCGTGTTTATTTCTGTTTTCACAGGGCCTAAGCCACAGAATGAATAAATTTCTATGCATTGCTCCATCTCTCTCTGACTCTTTGTACTTATGGCTACCACAAGTCTTTGTTTCTCTTTTCAGTTTAAATTCCTAAGTGCTTGATGCTGTGGGAAGCATTTCCACAGTCCCTTTTTCCAAGCAGCACCTCTCTTGCTCACAGCTACTTGCTGTTCCCTGTTTAGGACATTTACTTTCCAGCCTCTGTGACTCTGTGGAATACATCTAGGATATTCCATCTAGAATCTAGAATATTTGCTCCTATTCATTTTACCTTAAAGAGAAGCACAGAATGTTAGAACTGGAAGTGTCATAGAGAGAAAACCCTCCAGTCCAAATAGGGAAACTAAGGGGAAAGCCAAGTCAAAATCCAACCAGTGGGGTAGAGTGTGGACAGTACTATCATGAAAGCCAAAAGGTTCGGGTTGGGATCCTTGTTTGCTTCACACTCGCTGAACGATTTTGGGAAAAATCCCTCCACTGTCATGATCTTAGGTTCTACATCTATGAAAGGAGGATTTTTAAAATACCATATTTCATATCGCATTTTTTGTGAGGATCAAGCAAGAAGAAACATGCAAAAGTCCCAGCACATGACCTAACACCTTTGAGATGCTCAGTGCCGAATACATATATGCTGAATCAAATTTCTCACTCACTCGTATTTCACCATCTTTCCTGCCTATTGTCCCCCACCTCCCACCTTCCACACTTGAACAATCTCCTTGTCCTTAACTCCCCCATGCTTTATCCATCCCTGTCTCCTACCCTTGCTCTCATTCTATCATTAGCACGATCCAGTTACCTCTAATGTCTTCTCTAAAATTCTCTCTGTAACACTTTCCCATTGAGTTCAAACACCCATTAGGGATGGTTTCATGTCTGCTTTATCTTTTGTGCTTTCTGCTGCACCTCACTCAAGGCAAATATTCAAAAAATTATATGTCTTAGAATAAAATCCAAAGTCCTTACCACAAGTTCAAGGCCTTGCATGATCTGATTTCTATATAATTCTCAGATCTTACATGGTTCCCTTCTCCTCCTCACTCTCATTGGCTTCTTTATTTATCGGTTCCTCATATACTCTGTTTTCCTACTTTTGTGTCTTTAGCCACTAATGGTCCTCCACTCTGACTGCCCTTCCCTGGCCAGCTCTTTTTCATTGTCCAGGTCTTTTCTCAAGTATCACTACCTCCCTCAGTAGTCTGACCAAAGATATTAGATTGGTGCAAAAATAATTGTGGTTTTTGCCATTGAAAGTAATGGCAAAAATGGCAATTACTTTTGCACCAATCTAATAGCACCATCGCCTTCATACCATATCACAGCATCTTATTTTTACACCCTTCTAATACTGAATTACTTCTTTACTTCGATGTCAGCTCCCTCTGGGCAGGGACCATGACTGTTGTTGAACTGAGTCTTTATGCATTCAATGACCCATGAATGAATGAGCAAATGAATGCATTAAT